TATTTAATACACGAGTTTCACAATTTGAGTTGAATTACTGAAATAAATGAACTTTTCCTTGACATTCTAATTTATTGAGATGCACCTGTAAATGTGTCTTGATTTAAGGATGTTTCGATATTTGTTTTGGAAAACAGGGCAAAAATACTGAGGAAGATGTTCATTCTTTTGCAATGCATGCAACATTTAATGACGTGACTATGAATTTAAGAGTTTCTGCTTCGTTTTAAGACCTTTTTAGGGCTTAATTTGTGGAAGGGTGAATTAAGAATTAAGAAATCATGTTTATTTGAGGAATTTACTGTTTATTTTCCCCCCAACTGCTCAGACTTAAATACGGTCAAAATGTAAAATCTGCCATAATTTACTCTCTTGTTATTCCAAACCTGTTTGGAAACCATTCACTTTCTTTGTATGGAAAATAATGCAGTAACAGTGAATGGTGACTCGAGCTGTTAGTTCTCACATTCTACCTTACAGTGGTTTAAAATCCAGGACTTTTTTGTTGGGGGTGCTAACGGGGGGCTTAACAGTTCAGAGGGGGTGCTAAAAAAAATTATTAAATTGAGTGAAAGTAATGAACACCTATAAGCTTCAGCTATCTAAATAGCATGCAAATTCAGCCACCTTGTGTTTTTTATATACAGCAGCTTCGAAAAAGACAAATTTGACATTTTTTTCTGTGGTATTAAACTTTTCATATGCCACTGTTATTAGTAATATAACTTCTAATGCCAACTGCCAAATATGACACTTACAAATTAATACAATTTATACAGAAAAGAGAGAAAGTAGTAGGGATTTTTTTTCTTTTTTATTGTTTTATTTAATTTATTATTATTATTATTTTTTGTACATATATCTATTTAGTCATTTTCCCAGACAGCAACCAGTGTCTGCCCAGATCCGGCCTACATCTGGCCAGCGTGAAATTCTTGTGGGCCAGATGTGGGCCGGATCTGGGCAGACATTGGTTGCTGTCTGGGTTGCGTCGTATCATGTGTCGACGATAACCAGAGATATTGTCAAAAGCATTAAAAATGGGCAATATTAAGAGGATTTATCATTTCCAATTAATGTAGGCCTGTTACATTATTAGACCTTATTATTAGGTCACTTTTATTATTAAATTACATGAAATTATTGCCCCGCAATAATTATATAGCGCATCACTGCATGACGCGCTGCAGGATAATTAAAGTTTAGGCTTTTAGCTTACTCCTCATTGAAAATGTTTTTTTGAGCAAGGCACCGAACCCCCAACTGCTCCCCGGGCGCCGCAGCAAAAATGGCTGCCCACTGCTCCGGGTGTGTGTGTTCACTGCTGTGTGTGTGCACTTTGGATGGGAGAAATGCAGAGCACTAATTCCGAGTATGGGTCACCATACTTAGCCACATGTCACGTCACTTTCACTTTCACTTAATTTATATAATGAATTATAGGCCTATAATTAAAAAATGATTAACACTGCAGTCATCAACGAAAATTAAGAGCAGCTTTATTTCGTGCACTGATTTTCAAAAACAACCTGTTTAACGCGAAATACGTTTCTTTCTCATGTATTTCACTATACGGGCCACAAGAGAAATATTAAGGGAATAATTTAAGACAGTTAGGCTATATACCGTTATCAGCATATGTTGAAGTAGTTTCATCTCTCGTTGTCTTAGAGAATATGCGCCATTAATGCAGCGTTAGAAAGCTCCGTCAGTTTTTTTACTTTCACTTTCTCTATAGTGAATTGACTGACGTTCACCGGCATAACTGGTTTTGCACGCAGTTTGCGCGTTGCTTGCTTGTGTTGCTTGACCCCTCCCTCATAATATCAATTGTTTATAGGCCACATACTAGGCACTAAGGTGAAACACAAAGAAAGTGTTTCACCTTAGCCGAAACACTTTCTTTCTAGTAAAGACCTTGAAATGGTAATTTCTTCTCAATTGGATTACTGCAACTCTTTGTACATTGGCCTACCTCAATCTACACTGTCTCGGTCACAGATGGTTCAAAATGCAGCAGCCAGATTCTTAACAGGAACTAAGAAAAGGATCATATCTCCCCTGTCCTTGCCTCATAGCACTGGCTCCCTATAAAACTTAGAGTCGACTTTAAGATCCTTATTTTTGCATACAAGGCATTGAATAATTCTGCCCCGAAATTTGCCTTGCCTTGTTATTTTTAAGGTATGATGTGATTTGTAGGTTGAAAGTACTGAATGTTTTTACACATTTTTTTAAAACTTTATAGCCATCTGTGTTAAAGGGAAGTTATCTTTTGTTTAACCCACAACATCTGGCCCTGAATTCTTTTTTCTTATAGTAAAATTTCGTGGGATTTCATGTCACATGATTAACTGGGCAACCAGAAGTGGTTCATGGGTTCACTTTGAGATCAACACCCCCTAGTGGTGAACCATCGGAGTTTCGAAACAGTGTGACGTAATGAAGCTTCGTTTGCTAAAATCACGTGACCTGGCCGGTTTGATACGCGCTCCGAAACACTGATTCGAAACAAAAGATTCACAAATGTTTCGAAGCTTCGTGAAGCAGTGTTTCGAACGCGCCCATCACTAATGAACTCTTCTATTTTTTTTACTTAACAAAACATTCACTATGAGCCACAGGAGCACAATGCCATTATCTCGAGGTAATCTTCTACATAATTCAACAAATAAAACTGCCATTTAATCATAAATCTAACCTGTGACACTGAGGAGGGAGGAGGAAATTCATCCTGATATCGACCCAGGACGGAGTTTAAACGATTCACTGATAAGACACAAACACAAAGTTCAAGTGCCCATGAATATAATGCATGATTGTAAAACTGATCATGAATCTGTACAACATAATTTCTGAGAACTAGCGTAATTCACCTTGATCTCGAAGAAACTCGACTTCTGCTGTCATTTTTGCATCTGCAGCAGCAAAAAACTTTGTTAGGTCAAACGTATCTGCAAAGCATATACTTTGCAAAAATGTATCATCAACATAACTATAATAACATTTAGTATGAGGGTCGGTAGGTAGGTAGTATGCAGCGGGGAACAATTTGCTTTACTGAAGCAGTCAGTATACACAGCCAGCACAAATGATCCCTGGAGACTGTCTTTGTGTAGGGATATTAGTTTACCATTGAATTAACTGACTCTATAGAACCATATCATTTATCATTTTGGTCTAATCGAGTAAACGTACATTATTAAAGTGGATTATTACGAAATGACATATTCTTCAATAGATTAAATGAAAAAGAAGCGAATCTGGTGTGTAATCCCAGCAACAGCATTAAGCTTTATTTGGTATCTAGGTGGAGATTTGCATTGGCTAACTAGCAGGCTAACGGCTACACATATTTCAACATTCATTATAAACGTGCTGTACACGCTGTCACAAAATGTAAGTGAATTATACATGTTTGTTTTTCCACCGCGTAACATAAGATATGACAAAATAGCAGAAATACGTAAATAAATGTAACGTTATAAGGATAGGTACCTCCAAATCCTTCCGCCTTGTAGTTTAAAGATCCTCCCAGCCAATCAGATTCATGTTCACGGACGCTCGGATTAGACCTCAGAGCCAATCAGATTCATCCTCAGGAACGCGGTGCAGCTTATTAAAATGTTCCCAGGAAATTTCAACCCGCTTGCGTTCCGTGCGTCTTATGGAGTTCCTGTTTTTTTCATGGTTCTTGAATTGAGGAACTATCAAGATGAGGACCCTCGATGTGATCGAATAGGGTAAGACTTTACTTCACTATTTTTTTTTTTTTTTTGTTGTATTTAATACTATGTGGCTGACTGCTTAAACTGATCTGGGATTCTTAGTTGTTGTTGTGTGTGAAATCAGGAAGTGTTCTTCCAACAAAACATCAGGTGTTAAGTTTATGATATCAGATAAGATATTGATGGCTTATCAGTGATGACTGTTGCACTTTATTTCATATCAAGACAGTCCTGTATCCTGAGCTGCTTAAGACGTATTAGAGCACAGAACTGTGGATATATAGCCTTTATATGAACAGACATATAACAAGAATATGTTTGAGAACTTAACCAGATAGTAATTTATTATTATCTCAGGTCTTGAAAGAAGAAAATAATATTTTACCATGCTTAACAGTGTCTGCGTTGGTTGTATCCTCCTGACAGTCATGGAGTTCCACGTCAAACATACCTGGGACAGCTTACATGTGGGTCATAAGCCGATAAAGATTCGCTTCTCACCTGGCGAGGATGGTTTGTTAATGCAGGTGACTGCTCCATTCTTTAATGACCCCCCTGCACCAGCTGGAAAACCTGGAGAGCCGTTCCCTGGTCTCTGGGACTATGAGGGTAAATTCATCTGTACTTTTAATAAAGGGCCAATTTGTCAGTTTTGGTTTATAGATTGAGTTTCTTACTTTCAGATGACTAGATAAAGAATTAATGCAATCAGCTGATCATGTTGATCCTTGGACTAGATTTAACTTTGGTGCACACTTGAATTAAACTGAAGTTAATAAGGAGAAAGTTAATGAAACACTAAATAAATGTTTACCTTTCACTGATTTTCTGTGAATTTACAACGGACAATTTTTACAATTTGTGCTCTTTGACTAATTTTTCAGTGGTGGAGTCATTCTTCCTGAACAGCAACACTGAGCAGTATCTGGAGGTGGAAGTCTGCCCGTAAGTTAAGCCTACGGTCTTTATCAGGCAGCAGGAAGATTTTTCATTGCTAACATGTAATTGAAATAATATTTTGATATTACAGTCATGGACAACATCTTATTCTGCTATTGAATGGAAAACATAATGCGTTTATGGTAAGAAAACACACATTGTACATCAGTTTATTAATGTTTTCAGTAAAAAATGCAGTAAAAACTATCAAATATTATGACATTTTAAAATAACTTTTATATTTGAATATTTTAAAATGTAATGTATTCCTGTGACAGTAAAGGTGAATTACTCCAGCAGCCATTACTCCAGTCTTGCAAGATTAATCTTTAATGAGCCGAAAAGAACGCATGTCACACCTCGCTGCTCGCATTAAATTCAAAGCATTAATGTGTGCCTACAAAACCACCACTGGCTCTGCACCCCTTTACCTAAATTCATTACTTCAGAGTTATGTGCCCTCTAGAAGCTTGCGTTCTGCAGGTGAACGGCATATTATTGTGCCATCTCAAAGAGGCACAAAATCACTTTCACGGACTTTTTCATTAACTGTTCCCTCCTGGTGGAATGACCTGCCCAAATCAATCCGAGCAGCTGAGTCCTTAACCATCTTCAAGAAACGACTAAAAACACATCTGTTCCACCTTTATTTGACCCTCTAACTCTAGCACTTTCTATTCTATTTTAATTCTACTTTATCTATATTTATC